AAAAAAAACACCTGTTTTCCTATATGGAAAAGATGGAAATCTTAAAATGCTCCTAGTACAACTACCACTGTTTTCAGATTCCTGACTTCCCAGCAGACATGTAACACTTAAATAAAATGGTGGTTTTATTGGTTCACGAGCATCTGTCTTCACACAACCTCATCTACTCTTTTCCACTTACTCTGTCATTCTACTCCCTATTTCTTTGTCGTTATCCTACCTAAGAAAATCAAAGGCAACTCTGAGCTTTGAATTAGTCCTAAAGGTCTGATTATGTACATTAAAATCTTCACCTCTGTTCCTCAGATCATTGGCTTCCTCCCTAAGTCAGGTTGTGTCAAAACCCTGATGGCRACGATCCTGTTGCAGTTTAAGAGGGAGCTTGGGGTCCAGAAAACAGTGCCACGAGCTTTTATATCAGAAGGGGAGAGATGTGGATTCAGTTGTTTTCCTGAGAGAACAGGACATTTCACTTGACCCCAAAGCAAAATACAGTTGATTGCCTGCAGTTACCTATAGATGAGGTTTCAGGAATATTCTGTTTTCTAAGTAGTGCAAAGAAACTCTTTCACTGATATTTGGCGCTGTGTCTTTCTAATCTTACTTTTTGTTGAGCTTTTATATTTTAATCACTGTCAATAGATATTTAAAAATACATGCCTGATTTAGATGCCTTTACATGCTCCTCAATGATCATGCCTCATCTCAAAAACAGGAAAATTAGTGTGCATCAATGTCTGGATTAGGTTTCACCAACAGCATTCAAGATTAAAGGGCATGGGGAGACTTTTGAGAATGATATTAGGAAATATGCCTGTGAGATGTGACAAACACACTAAAAACTGTTCTGTGAGGGCACACTGATGATCCTGCCTGATTGTGTACACAAGGAAATTCCAAGCTGTGGTCCTACATTTTTTAAAATTTTCAATGAAACAAGATTTAGGCCTTCAGAATGTTTTCCTCCATAAACCCTCTACAAATGCCAACAAGTTTGGCAATATCAGAAGGGTTTTCTCAAATATGCTGCAACCTACACTTTGACCCTGAAGTCAAAGACCAGTAAGAAAATGCAAAGAAGAACAGCTCCTTTAAATAAACCATTTGAATATGATTATAAGCCCATAAGCAAGTGGTGTGAACCAACTGTAGAAGAAAACAATTTATTCTGAAGTCCATATTTTGGRATATTCTTTTTAAATCTGARCTGCCTSTCCTCCATGACTGTTGTCTGTGTGATTAGTGGTGCTGAGGTGTATAAGTTGCTCTCCCAGAGGATATTTTCGTGTGTTTCATCCATTTTAGACTGTGTTTTCAGACTTCCATCTCCAATTCAAAGCAGATTGTGGTTAAGTGGGGGTGAYGAGCAGGTGCTGCTCAGAGCACCTTCCTGACCTAAACTAAACCCCAGTGTGAGGGGAGGACACCTCTGTGCTCAGCTGTAAACACAAATTAATGCACTTCAGCGTTTCATCATTTCAGAGTTGGGACGTGAGGCTGTGCTGTGTGTTTAACAAACACTGAAATAAGTTTTACCTATGCTCACTTGTGAGGTTAAGCAATATCTGAGTGACTTGATGAGCTCTGGGGAAGTGGATTGAAAGGGATCCTTTCAAGGTCATGCACTGTGGTTACAGCTTCATTAAAAGCATTTGGATGGTCGAGAGTGACAGCCAGCTAACTCTGGAGTGACAGGCAGCAAGGAGATGATGATGTAGGGCATTAACATATCAATGAACAAACAGGGAGGTGCACAAACAAACCACATTCTGAACAGCTGAAAAATAGTAGRTGTCAGAATGCAATCAGCCAGACTGGAATTCGACCAGGGCACCAGGGCTAATATTGTTGCTTTGTTTAATGACATTTTTTCTCCTATGAATTTCATTAAAACAGCTGTAATGTTATTCATGTTATTTCAAGACATAACATTAAGTTCAACATTCCTGGGCATCATTTTCATTTAATGACAATTCTGCAACAATCAGACAGGCCATAGAGGCTTGGCCAGACAAAGCTTTTGTTTGAAATGTGAACCCCTACACAGTACAGTTAATGATGTATGCTGCTTTCCTCAGATCTATCAACAAGACTACAGGAGCAAAACTAATCTGCAATTAAAATTGTGACTTAAGAGAAACACTGCTGAAAAACAAAACCAGCGAGCTTATTATTTTTACATGATATTTTTTGTTTTATGATGGCTTCAGTGAAATTGCTGTCTTCATGGGTGCCAGTGAATTTTAATGTCCTAAGAAATGGGTTTGTCTGTGCACCTTCTTAAAGCAAGTTTTGGTTACATTCACCAGCCTAAGGAGCCAATACTTTCAATTTTCTCTGAACACGGGGGGGAAACTGTGCAAAAAGTGGGAGAAAAGCAGAGTAAGCCATTATTTTGAYGTGTATATCTAGTCTGGTGGCAAGGCATCCACCATCCCCCAGTGAACAGGCATCAGTGGTAAAGTCATTACAGAATCATTGGATGGTTTGTATTGGAAGGGAATTTTCAGTTCAGCTGATTCCAATCCCCTGTCATGGGCAGGAAATCCTTCCACTGAACTGGGCTGCTCCAAGTCCCATCCATTCTGTCCAGGAATATTTATCTGTGTCCGTTTCCTGATTTTTCAGCCACTGCACTAAGAAGTATTTAAGTATTACATGCATTASATTCCATAGCTGTTTGATAGAAAAATACATAACTAAGTGTTTGATTAGGTAACATTTTAATTTCGATGTTTTCAAACAGAAAAGTCATCAGATTAGTAAATGTATGCTCATATGTTTTTAATTACCATCATATTTTCAGAAACATGTAGGACCAGCTGTTTGAAAATGCTACTGATACTTTCACTTTAGATAAGACTCATCACTTTACTCTAGATGAACACCTGGTTCTTACTATTTAAAACATGTGAAACAGATAAATAACTAATTAGAACATATTCATCTTTAAAAAAATACATTAAGGCTATTCAAGGTCATGCCATACTAATTGTAAATTGAAGATTTATATAAAAATATTAAATAGTTAGGACCTGTGGCATTACTGAAAGGTTGTTTAAAAAATATGCATTAGCCATTACCTACTGATCACTGTAATATATTAATTATGTTGAGYAATTCAGAGGGGAGCTAGCTACTCAACCACCTTTAAATAATGTGCTCTAACTCTGAGCTGTAGCACATCTTTTATAGAAGCTTTTTTGAACTTTTAATGTGAATCATAGGACTCCTCTGGAAATTCTGGCTATGTACAAATATTGCAGGATTCATGGAGCTACATTTTTTATTTTTCCTGTATGCTTGTGGCTGACCCCAGAGGAACCAGCTGTGGGCTCAGTTGAGCCCATGGATAATATGTTGATGTCCATTTASTCCAAAGTTAAGAGGGCAGCTCATGTTTCTTCCAGCCCCTGGCCTCACTGGGAAGCCTGTCATCAGTGTTGTTAGTTTTGCCAGTACAGCCTTTTTCCTGAGAAGAATGATGTAGTTATTTACCCTTACACCATGAGCTCTCTGACCAGCTTCAAGCAAAAAAGTTGAASACCAGTACCTTTGAAAGCATGACCCTCTACATTCTACTCCTTCAGTAGGAAATAAAAAATTAATGTGAAATCTGCCTTTTTCATCTGGAACAGTGGTAGAACAAGGGGACATATGTTCAAACTGAAAGAGAGTGGATTAGATCAGATGTCAGGAGGGAATTGTTTCCTGTGAGGCCCTGGCACAGGGTGCCCAAAGAATCTGTGGTTGCTCCATCCTTGGAAGTATCCAAGGCCAGGTTGGATGGGGCTGGGAGCAACCTGGGATAGAGGAAGGATGCTGCAGCTTTCCTCAGAATCCTCCRGTTGTACAGTGACCACACAGAGAGGTACAGCTTGCAGGGGAAACCACAGTGGTACAATTTTTTTGGGTGGCTGGTGCTCAGTCAGTAGCCTGTACAGCTCTAAGATCCCCTCCAACCCAAACTATCCTGAGGTTCTGAGATTCTATGATTTAGCACA